CCCTGAAGAGGCCAAAGTTAGCTCTCCTGAAGTCCAATGTGGCAGTTCCACTTGTTGTTCTGCTTCCACCTCTCAGAATCCGGAACTCCACCATCTTGTGGTCACTGCAGCCAAGCCTGCCCCCTGCCTTCACATCCTCCACCAGTTCTTCTTTATTTGCCAGCACAAGGTCCAGTAGCATTCCACTTCTAGTTGGCTCCTCCACCACATGGGTCAAAAAGTTATCGTCGATGTTCTGCAGGAACCTCTTGGACCGTGTGCACCTTGCCGTAATATGATTTAATATATCATATTAAAAAATCTGTAATTGAAAATCACCATCTTTAATTGTTAATAGAAAGGCAGAGTTTTGCCAAAGAGCTTCCAAATTCTGCCAGTACTTCTCCATCAAGGTTCTATGGGGTCTGAGCAGACATCCCAGCCCACATCCACATGCAGGATCTCTGCCCCACTGGAGGAGAGATGCAGAGGGATTTATGGGAGGATTCCTCCTCCTTTGCTAGTGCCAAGGAAAGCATGACTAGCAGAAGAGTCAGCCATCACATTAGCCACACCTTTCAGCCCTGTGCCATTAGATTTTTATTGTGCTACAGGAATTATTTGCTCATTTTACTGAGTGGAAAATGATCAGAGAAGCACTCTGCTTTAATAATCTGAAAAACATTTTTGAAATAGTGGTACAAACAAAGAAAAACTGCTCAGAGGACTTTTTTATGGGTAATGAAGACAGATACAAGAAAACACTTTTTTATTTACCCTGAATGTTCTTCAATTTATAAGGCTAAATTTTTTCTTATACTACACAGTTTAATAAAAGTGGATTCACTTTGTGGCAACATTCTAAAAAAAGTTAATCCCCAAGAGGTAAGAGACACAGTTGTTTCCTGTGTAATTTATGAAATGTACTGTGACTGGAATCACTTTATCAGCAGCTGTTGGGAAGAGTTCATACTCCTGAGGGATATGGGTCAGGTGAAGAGTATAGTCAGGACCCTGAATTTTCAGAAAGCAAACTTCCAGCTCTTCAAGGAGTTAGTCAATAGGACCCCCTGGGAAGCTGCCCCCGGGGACAAGAGAGCAGAACAGAGCTGGCAGATCTTTACAGACCCTTTCCATAGAGTGCAAGAGCTTTCAATCCCCAGGTGTAAGAAATCAGGCAAGGAAGGCAAGAGACTGGCATAGATAAGTTGAGACCTGCTTGTCAAACTAAAGGGCAAGAAGGACTGCACAGGCAGTGGAAGCAGGCATAGGTATCCTGGGAAGAGTATAGGGGCGCTGCCTGGCTGTGTAGGGATGGGGTCAGGAAGGCCAAAGCACAGCTGGAGCTGATCTTGGGAAGGGATGGAAAGAATAATAAGAAGGGCTTCTCCAGGTTTGTCAGCCAGAAAAGGAAGGTCAAAGAAAGTGTACTCTTGAGATGAGCAAGACTGGAAAACTGGTAACAATGGACAATGAGAAGGCCAAGGTATTCAATAATTTCTTTGCCTTGGTCTTCACTGGCAATCGCTCTTCCCACACCTCTTGAGTGGATGGACCACAAGACAGGGACTGGGGGAGTAAAGTGCCTCCCACTGCAAGAGAAGATCAAGTTTGAGACCACCTGAAGATACATAAGTCTATGGGACCTGATGAGATGCATCCCAGAGTCCTGAGGGATTGGCTGGTGTAGTTGTCAAGCCACTCTCCATGATGTTTGAAAACTCATGGCAGTCAGGGAAAGTCCCTGGGCACTGGAAAAAGGGAAACATTGCACCCATTTTTAAAAAGGATTGAAAGGAGGACCCGGGGAACTACCGACCTGTCAGCCTCACCTCTGTGCCTGGGAAGGTCATGGAACAGATCCTCCTAGAAACCATACGAAAAGGCAGATGGAGGACAGGGAGGTGATTTGTGACAGCCAGCATGGCTTCACACCAAGGGCAAGTCCTGCCTGACCACCCTAATGGCCATCTATGATGGAGTGACAGTTTCAGCAGACAAGGGAAGAGCTATGGTTGTCATCCGTCTGGACTTCTGTAAGGCCCCTGACAC